ATGACGACTATAAATTCTTACTTGTTTTTATTTTTTATTGTTAGTTTAATGAGTTGTAATTAATTTCCTAAATTTTCATGGTCGACAAACTTTCTGCTCAAAACCACAAAGTTATTGTTGTGGGAGAACATATTACCCAATTAATATATTAATAAAAACAGCATAATTGAAATAATATATCCTGTATATTCAACTAGAAAATCTAGAATTATTATAAAATGTTTACTGGATCATGTGTTTTCAAAAATTATATAAACTGAATTATTGTTTCTCCCTGAAAAAGCAGCATTATGACATGAATTCAGTAAACATATACATAAATCTACATAAATATTTTTCAATTTATAAATTTTTGACATTTGAAGTGATAATTTCATGAAAAATTACAATGTTTGTTTACATAAGATGATTTGAAACTTTATTTATATAGTTGTTTTGCATAAAAGTTTTTGGAATAATAATATTGTTTTAAATTTAAATTATATTTAAATAATTTTTAAATTGTTTTGCAATGACTTATACTTCAACTTGAATAACTTTAAATCGCCTAGAAGTATGTCTGGACAAAAGTATAATATCCTCCTCACCTTAGAGGTGTAGCTCGATAGGTATGTTTATACTAATAAAATCTGTACTGTATCTTACAATACATCATAAAAACCATCATATCTGTGAATCTACTCCACATCGGCAAATCTCACAAATTTTAAATATTTCACTACTGTACAAGTGATGAATAGAGTGTTAAATAACTTTTACATTAAAAGTTTTATTTAAAAATTTTAATGCCTTACTTTCAAAGAGTTTTTTTTACTTTCCATCTTTTAAGTGATATTAAAGTGTAAAGAAATGTTTGGTATGTTAGAACACATTTTTAACGAAAAAAAAACTTATTTAAAATCACGTGTCGTATGAATGTAATTCGAATTACTACGGTTCACAGACATTCAGAGGGCGTAAAACATACACAACAGAAGATGCTAAGTATTCATCTTTAACTGATGGAATTGAAAAGCATAGTATTTTATGTTATTCCCTAAGAATTTCTTTACAAATATAAAAGTTTTTCTCAAACATAATTTAAGCTTTAGAAAATGTCTTCAATCAAAAAAACTTTGACATAATACGATTTCTTTCGCACTAAATATTTCGCGCAAAAAAAGGAAAATTCTTTTTGTACTCTAAACCTTTTTGAATAGAGAGCATAATACTTTCATAAGTTCCGATACGAGCTTTGTTATGAAACAATGTACGTAATTTAAATTAGTGTTTTTAATTTAATGTACTGTGTATTTAGGTTAAATAAATAAATAATCATACCAAAACGCAGTGTTCAAATAAAGTGTTAAAACAAGGAATCTATTCTTGCTACTTGTATTTGTATAAACGAAATGAATGAAAGCCTATTTATAAAATACACCACTAGAGTGGGGAGGGTATTATACTTTTGTGCTGATGTTTGTAACGCATAAAACTATTGATCCTACACCCACCTTAAAGTATCAGAATCACTTTCTGAGTCGATTAAGACATGTCCGTCCGTCTGTCCGTCCGCTTGTCTGTCCGGCTGGCTGGCTATCCATGTAAACTTAGTGCGCAAGCTACAGGCCACAATTTTCAAGATATTTGAATAAAATTTAGTCCATACGAGTTTTTTCAAAGCAGGAACGATGCCTATTGAAAATTGTTGAAATCGGTTCATACAACCTGACCTTCCGATATTGGGGTTTTAACACATAACTATGTCAAATATACTACTACATCTCACCGAAAATTGTCACAACTAAGTTTTATATAAGCATTAATGACCATGCCAGTTTTTATAATGATCGGCCGTCTTTTGACCCTAAATTTTTGACCCCATACAAACCCCCCTTTAAAAAATATCTTCAACGCCCAAACGTTTACTTATAATCATCAGTATCGCGATAAAATTCAGCATAACTAATCTTTATATAAAATTACATTCATCATCCCAATTTTTTGAGGATCGGCCCATATTTGACCCTAGCTCCCATATAAAGCCTCTTTTAAAAATTTAGTTTTTCATCAATAAATTGCTTAAATACATCGGTATTAAGTCCTTTATTTCGTGTAGCCCCCATGCAACCATACTCCTCAAATAGGGCTTTTGAGCTCATAAATATGTATGTTAACTGTTCTTGTATCACTTCAAAAATCGCCAAAACTTAGTTTTATATAAGACTTAATGATACTGCCGATTTTCGTATTGATCGGGCCTCATTTGGCAATATCCTCCATTTAAAGTCCCCTTCAGTAAATGACTTTATAGTAAAAATTTACTTATAAACACTAATATCACAATGATATTCCGCATAAATAACTAATGTAGACGTAAATTTCTCTACCAAAATTTATAAGGATAGGACCATATTAACCTCCTACCCCCATTTAACCCCTGTTTTCGAAAATCCCTCTTTTGTCAACAAATTTTTAAAATATTTCTGAATTAAGGTAAAAATTTAATTAATATTAGTAAAAAAATAATAATTATTAATAAAATAAACATGAACTGTTATACCGTCATACGTATGATTGATATTTATTACGTTGTAATAAATAAATATTAAGTATACGTAGCATTGCTCCATAAAAACTGACAATTGATTAGTAATTTGGATTGGTTTTCGTTTTGACTAATTACACAGGCTAACGATGAAAAACTTTTTAAATAATATTCACTTATCCTAGAATTATGTGGTGTGGTAATCCCAATGATAACAAAAAAAGTCGTATCACCAAGCAATTTTCCACATTTTTAAATTTTAGTTTCCCTGACATTATAGTTGTGTCTTAAATGTTTAAAGATTTTTACAGAAATCACGAATCTTGGTCGTCTCTGCCTCTAGACATAAACTTTAAGTTATAGAAGTGCATTCTGGGAAGAATTAATGAACTATACATATGACTACATTAACTGGTGACGCCACGGCTCTGAAAATTGTGGGTGATAGAGAATAACAGATAATACATTAAAATATATTAAAATCGGTATATCGGAATAGGTTTCAAAAGTTTTTAGAAACCTTAATTTCGTTGGCCTGTGTAATTAAGATGAAATTCATTACATGTACCTTCATACGTATGATTGATATTTAATATATTGTAATAAATAAATATTAAGTATACGCAGCATTGCTCCATAAAAACTGACAATCGATTAGTAATTTAGAGTGTTTTATATATTGATTAATTATCACTTTCAGGATGATACTGTTATTTCTAAAAGTATGAATTAAATTATTAAGAATTTGTTTAAATTCTGTTTAAAATAAAACATAAGATGATATTATATTTTCATGCAATTTAGACAAAAGTAACAGATTTTAAAAGAGAACAACTACTAGAAGAAGAAGAAAAAGTACTCTTACGAGCAAAAACTAAAAATATAGACATAACACTCAACGATGTCATTTGTAGTTGTTACACTTTTACCACAAGTATTAAATGTTTTTGTTTTATCTTAAAGTAATATTACTCTAGAGTGTAATAAATAATGTTATAGGTTTCTTAAAAACTGTGTAACTAACCTAAAGCTTTTATTGAGATTTTCTTTTCATTCAGATTCCTCTAAAAATGATAGTAGTGGTCAGTTGTCTTTAGAAGTAATATATTTAACTAACTATTTGCTAGTTTGTCTAATATCTACATCAATTAACTAAACATTAGTTAAATATTTCAGGCATTAAATTTTCTTTTGGTTAAATTTTAAGTCGACTTTACACTTTTCATGCCATACGACAAAATATTACGCAATTTTACCACAGTTTTGCTGTATAATATTCTTAAGTATGAATATGAAAATCACAGCTGTTTTGGTGTTTTAGTTAGAAAAACCACAACACTCTGAATTTGCCATTATGTTGTTTTATCTTTAGTTTTGTTCTACTTTTTATATGTTTTTCTTTAGTTTTTATATAAAAGAAATGTTTTTTTTTAATTCGTAATACAGTAGTAGTTAAAAATATATGATTAACGTAGTTTTAGCCAAATATCTTCGTGGCATATTTAAAAAAAGTAATACATACTTGATGTTACTCATCATCACAGAAGGAAAACATGTTGCAAATTTAGATTTGTTTCTTCAACACTAATATTTTCGTACATTTAGAGAATTATATTTTGGCCAAATTTTTACACCCAAATAATTAGCGATCATTTTCATTTGGTTAGCTACTGTATCCATATGTTCGTATTAGTAACTATTATACAAATGTATGCTTAGATATGTTTTTCAGTTCTTGTGTTACTTTTCTCCTTGTATGACATATTTCTGCATGTACCACACACACACATACTGTCAAACATACAAACATTGTAATTCTAATTGTTTATTCACAAGTTTGTTGTAAAAAAAAAACTACGAACAATAAAAATCAAAGCAAAATGAAAAATGTTTATATACCAACAATGAGATACTTGAGAGATACTTGCACTAAAAAGTTAAAATGCCATTTCGTGCCATACGTGTAAGATACGACTATATCTAGAGGTGTTTTTAGTGACTAAAATGAAAAAAAGTGAATAGCATTCTTCTCAAGTAAATAAAAAACCTCAATAACAGTGAGACATTAGTACAGGCAACTAAAGACAAGATAAAAAATTTAGTAGAATTTTTATACAAATTGCCCTATTGCTATACTAATAAATTGTGAACCCTTAATAATTAGTTAAAACAAATATTTTGAAATGGGCATTCAATATTCCATATTTTTATATCGAGAAAACAATTGATTTACTTCAATTTCAAGATTGCATATTAAATCCAAATTCACATCGAAATCACCTTTCATAGTTAACTTCAATTTAAAACATTCATACGCTTTGGTGGAGGATATATAAGATTTGGTTTAAAGAAGTAATGTTCAATTACTTATTTTAAGTATTTGAATATTTTATATTTTGTGTTATAGTTAATTTTACTAACTTTTTTGTGCAAAACAACTAATTTATTTCACATTTAAGCGTCAATTTATTACCATTCACAAAAAATAAATAAAACACTTTTTGCTTGTAAAACACGAAAATATTTTGCCTTTTTATGACCGTAAATTGACGTGCGTTTAGATAGATTGAATGGAATTTTACTACTGACCTTACTATAGAACACGTACATAGACTATGAGAGAAAAAAATAAAACTTCACAACATAAGAGATAAAAACACATACTCAAAAAAAAATAATACTGTTTTTTGGGGTGTAGCGCCAAAAACTATGCAATAAAATGTGAAAAATGCAAAGTTAAATGTGCTGAGTATATAAGCATTCTTACAGCAGCATTTGCAATGACAAATATACTTATTATAACAGTTAACAAGGACGAGAGAGTAAATATATTTCTTAATATAAGAGTGAAGTAAATACATATTATCGCAGGAATTTGTTGTAGTTTTTAAACTGTAGATTTTACGGTGTAAGAGCGCAGGTCTCTTATACAGTTTTAGTTGAATTTAAAATTTTCTCATATTTTTCCTATATTTTGTTATTATTAAAACTTAGTTTTACTTTTTGTTTACAAGTTTTTAACATTTGCTGGCATATTTACTTTTAGAAATATTTCAAATTTGTATTTATCAGAGCAAGGACATTTGTTATATATTACGTGTTTTATTAAATAGCATTACTGCATGGTTTTCTAGGAACTTTAACATAAATGAAATAGTACAAACTAGTGTAATTATACTCTTAATTTTGTAATAAGTCCTTATTAGGAGGAAGTGTGGCATGTTATCATACTGATAGGAATGGTGTGGACTTGCTATACAATATGCAAAGTTGACTCGTTTTTTCGAAAAAGTGACCAAAATAGATTATTGTCCTATAAAGAAAATTTTGGCCAAACACATGATTGCACATGAAATTTCTTACCTATACCGAAATATAAACAAAAAACGTATCCGTGTCAATATATTTATTATTTTATCCTTATTTTTAAACTATAATATTTAAAGAAAAGTATTCTTAGACTACAGGACATAGACTTTAATTAAGGACTAAAAAGACTAATATCGGATAGATAGTTTAGAAAATATACCATGTATTAAAATTTAATTGCAAAATGTTCCTAATTTGTTAATGGTAAATTGAAATGTGCTGAAAATCATAATTTAATTTGGAAGTCTTTGAAAATTCATATGAATTTAAACTTTTTAATTATTTCTGGACATTTTAATAAGTTTTAATAAGTTTTTTTTTTAATTTTTATATTAAACTTCAAATTAAACTTCAATTTCAATCAAAAGATATCGAAGGATAAATTCGACCAAAGTATACCCGTACAATGCTTTAGAACAACATAACCGTTTTGTCTCTATGTCGTTGATATCACTCATCCGCCACCTGTTTAATTATTTCCGAACATTTTAATAAGTTAATATTTGCTCTTTTATTTCTTATATAAAACTTCAAATTTTATAATTTCAATCAAAAGATATCGAAAATTCGACCAAATTCTACCTGAACAATGCTTTAGAACAACATAAATACATATATTGCCTAATATCACTCATCCGCCACCTGAAATAGCATATAATTATACTCTACACCACTTTAGTGGGGAGGGTATATTGGATTTGTGCCGTTGTTTGTAAAGCGTAGTATTAATGGTTCTATATCTACTTTTAAGTTTTCATTTTCTGAGTCGATTAAGCCATGTCCGTCCATCGGTCGGACATGAACTCGGACATGGTCCGTCTGTCCATGTAAACCTTGTAATCAAATTACAGGTCGAAATTTTGAAGATAATTAGATGAAATTTGGTACACATATAACCTTTGACCCAAGGACGAATCCAATTGATTTTGGTTGATATCGTCCATTATTTCTACTAGCCCCCATATAACCGTACCTCCTAAATTTGGATTTGGAGCTCATAATTATACCAACTATACTAACATCCAACAAAAATAGGCACACCTACGTTTTATACAAGCATTAATGATACTGCAAAATTTCGTAATGGCGGGCCCGGGCTAGGGTTACCCTTGCTAAGTCCCCTTCTGAAAACAATGAAGGAAAAATTCAACATAAATGTTTTATTATTAAAAATAATACATCTTTTAGATATATTCATAACTCATATGGTTGGCCACGCTCGACTATACATTTTGACTGAAAATGAAACAATAAGTAATTATATTGACAACATAGATTGTTTAAATTATCTCTGTATTATTTTTCTATATTTCTCTTTGCAGACAACATCAGAAACCGAATAACTAACTTCACAACTTATCAGTAATTACTGTTTATATTTTTGAAATTGTGATATCATACCTTTTATGACAGTTTTTGGAACAGCGCTAATATTGGCGTAATTATTTTGTTAAAATTTCAACTCCTTCATCTGCATATCTGCCGCCAAAATACATATTTTGGTCGACATTTTTTTATAGCCCGAAAACTGCTGTACATATTTCAAATCTGACTTTAGTATACTATTTTACAGGAAAATTTAAGATATATACACGTAATTTGACATAATTTAGATGCACTATAAATGCATAAGAGCAAAAGAAAAAATGCAATTAAAAAAAAAAAATAAATTCAAAACTTGATCTTATCATTCGTAAATATAATATTCAATGCCCTTAAAAATAGTGTTAACATTTTTAATTTATTGTAAGCCCTTTAGGAGTTATGATGGTTATAATGTATTTTGTTGTATTTTAATAATTTCCCATCAAAAAATGGTGTTTTTCATCCTCATCTCCGAATTTAATAAAACTCCATCCAATTAATGTTCCATATATAACATGTATAATGACAAATTTTGGGCCTTATAACTTTCGTGGTTTTCGAAATATAGCGTTGTAAAGTTTAAAATCTGAAAATTTAAAGTCTTATCACATCTGAAGGGTTAATGATAAAATTTTTGTTTTTGCACCATTTGTCTCAGCAAAAAGCATACTTTGATTATGCACAAAGAAAAAATTTTTTTGAAATATTTTTTGAAAAAAGTGTATCTTTGGATAATAATACTAAATGCACTTTTGGAGCATTATAAAAGTGTGAAATTAAGCTCATTCTTATTGATTTTTCCTATAAAATCAATTATTAAAGCATGATTTGCTATAAATTATACAGTTTGTGCTCTGTAAAAAATGTCGCTCAAAATCAGTGGTTTCCGCCTCAGATATGCAGAGGAAGGAGTTGGAATTTTGAAATAATTATTATAGCATAGTAATTATTGATGCAAAAACCTTCTAAAAAGTTGTGATATCACAAAAACGGGAAACATTTTATTTTTTGAAACGAAGCCTAATAAGTATGTAAATATTAAGCAAATATGCACTTAGTCAAACAATTTATTTAAAGTTTTTGGGCAGTTATTTATAAATGCAAGGAAATAAATAATTTCATAATAATAAATACCAAAAAATAAAAATAAATTATTGAAATTAACTCATTTAGCAAAAGTGCAAAAAAACTAATATATTCTAATTAATAATTATACCTTATTATTTGCATTTTTTATTACTTTCAATTCTTTGCCTTTATTACCATTGCTGTTGGCACAGAAATTATAAATCTAAATGGCTATTGGTGGTGAAAAATTTGTTCAAACAGAAAAAACTTATTGTTTAAACGTAGTTAATTATCCAAGGCAACGAAAACTTTATGGTAAACTTTTAACAACTTTACGAAAAGCTAAAAAAATAGTTTTTGCAATTATAATTTTACAATGTAAAGTAACACTTTTTAACAAATATACATAAAAGTGCTAGGTACGAATATGACTGCAACAAAGAGTACTATATTCGAGTATGTCGAATTAGACATACCCTTTATTTTAGAATATCTTGAGAAGTTATTTAGTAGGATGATAAACATTAAAACAAATTTATATTTCGGTTAGAAGTGTAAAAAAGTATTTATCCAACAGTAAAAAATATTTTGTAAAACTCTAAAGCGTAAAAAAACTGTGTTTCAATGACTTCCTCTTATCCAACATTTGCTGCAGTTATATGTTTGTACAGACAAAACACTGCTTCAATGACTTCCTATTGCCGAACATTCGCTTCAGTTGTTTTAAGTAAAAAAGAGAATTCTCTTCAACTCTTCTAGATTGTTAATTTACGTCTAGTCCAGTTTCATACATCAACGTTTTTCTATGTTTAACTTACTTTTTTCAATTTTCTATTACAGCAGTTTTTTGCACACTTTTGTCAGCAATGGATTGTTGATTTTTTTATTCTAATCCTTTGTAATTATTCTTTCCCTTTTGGCTATATTTTCATTTTTGCAGCTTTTTTATGTCCTTTTTTTTGAAAAGTAGTTGTTGCTTTATGTGATCTAGTTTATATTAAGTTGATGGTTGTTTTCGCATTCCATCATATGCTGTTTAATTCATGATGAAGTTGAAAATGTTTCGTGTTGAGTCTAGTTGAATCAAACAAATCTATTGCTAATTTTATCTTTTATTAAATTTATGTTGTCTTAAGTTTGAAAATAGAAATATTGGTCACATATAGGTGTTTTCGCATGTGATAAGCCGATCGAATTGCTCGGGCTACAAATGGAGAAAATCTTGATATTATCAACTTCCATCGGGAAGAATGGGTTCTTGTTGAAAAAAAAACAACAAATTAATAAATCAAGTTTAGGTAAATATTATTAGAAATTTGATTGTTAAAGTTTTCTCTCAAATTTGTTATGTAATTTAATATAAATACTGCAATTCTATCTTCTAGATACAAACTTCGTTTTCCTCTTCAGTATATTTCAGTTACACACATATTTCTCTTTCGTTTACTTTTCTATTCAAGTATATTTTTTTTTAATTTTGTAACTTGAAATGTTTATTAGTCATCATTATGTTGTATAAAAGATTTCCTTTTGGTAAAGAGGTTGTCAGAGCAACGATTGCCTTTTTTGGCAAATATTACCTTTTTGCTTAAAATGTATTTAAAACGTTAAAAGAATTTTTAGTTACATAATTAATTAATTCGCTTCAGTGGGCTTGAAAGACGTTTATTAAATTTTATTAAGTAGAAGACAAGAGTAAAAAGCGATGGTTGTATGTGTGTGTGTAGCAAAAGCCTAAGTACACTCTCGGTAGTTTGACAAAGAGTCAATGTATC